GAATGTGAATGCCATGCATGCTCATTCATGCAATGATTGCATGCAGCTTTCAACTTTCCATTGGCTTTATGTACCACCTTAAAATCGGTCCACACATCTGATCTTTGCCTCTCTTCCATGTCCTCTTCACTGAGTTCATCCTCATCAACCACTTCATCATCAAGTTCATCGTCAAAGTCCGGTATGTCCTCTGTGAACTTTTCCTTCTTCTTTTGCGAGTTAGTAGGCGTGACATTCTTCTTTGGCGATTGAGTATGCATGGCATTTCTTCTCCCTCCACGAATCACAGACTTCATAGGAACAGACTTCACCTTACTACACGTATGTGCGGATGAGCCAATGCCACCATCTATAGTGAATTGCAACATTGGTTTCCTCCAGGCTGTTCCAAAAGTAGTCTGTCTGCGAGGCTTATTTTTTTTTGGGTTGATGGAGTGATTTCAACATCAGAATCATCAGTTTCATCGACAAGACTGATAAGCTTTCTTTTGCTTCCTTGCCTCTTTCCAGCAACACAAGCCTAGCTATGAGATTTTGAGTTTCCAAGTCGACTGTATCTAGTGGGGAGTAGTTTGGATCAAACGTCTGATCTTCTGAGTCGTCTCTTGATCCCATGTTCTCTCTCTTACGGTTTTGCTGTTCTAGTGTTTTTTTGGTCACTCTCTCACGTCTTACGGTTTTAGTTATTAGGGCTTTCTAAATTTTGTTAAAATTCTAATTAAAAGATTGTTAATGCTGTATCTTAAATATTAGAAAATTTTATGCAAGTACACAACGTCACAACCAAATTAAAACTTTAAATGCACATCAGTACATGTACTCAAGGTCAAGGAAAGCTAAACAATGATTTGATAACCTATGCAATGCAACCAAATTAAAACCCTAATCTATGTTACAGAGAGTAATTTACTCACCTTGGTTCTTTAAAGCTTCGATGAACTTAGATATTCTTTTGTTTGAACTTGATGATTCTGCATTCTTGTTCACGATCACTCCATCATCTTCCGCAAAAAATAAAGCGACATAAGTGAATCACTTAAAGTGATCAAGACCAGTAATCAAGTCAAGACAAGGAGCTGAACAACAAACATCACTATTCACAAGTAAGAGGACTCCACTCTTATCTTCGCAATGGATCTTGCGGTATACCTAATGAATCATCCCTCTTCGTTCCTTTGAATGATTTTTCATCAGCTATGCAGCCAAGATCCGCTGAACTAGTCAAGACCAGTAATGCAAATCAGTCACAATTATATAATCAACAGGAGTCCAGTCTTAACTTCGAAGAGGATTTTGCAGAATAGCTAATGAACCATCACTCTTCTCTTTGAATGATATTTCATCAGCTATGCTGCGAAAATCCTCTGAACAAGTCAAGACTAGTAATGCAAGAACAAAAATTATATAATCTAAAATTTAGAATAGTCTATACTATAATTTAAATTATATAATCTGTAATATTTACGTATATTTATAGGTTTAGAAGTATTTTGGAAGAAAATGATGTTTTTGGAGCATTTTGGAGAAGAATTAGAGAAATCACTCGATTTGGATATCTACCAACACATTGAGGTCAACACAGAGTGTTTAAAATCGATCGATATGATCTTAGCAGTATCGATCGATACCGAAGGCGCGAAAGACTAATTCGCGAACCATCCGACTTGAAGCCCAAGACTTCACCAAAATACAATTATGCCCCTGACCAGTTTTTACCTAATTATTTATACTTTGCCAAGGTGTTTTAGGCAAAGAGAGTATTTCTGTATTCTTATTTTACACAGAAAAATGTTTTTAATATTCTTAGAGTTGGAGAGAAGATCCGTAGAGATTTGTGATTGGAACTCCATTGTTTTCTATCTATCTATATATTTATGAAGTTTAATTACTTTGTTTGTGTTATGATTGCTTAGCTATGTCTGACTAATTCACTTGTTAGAAATAGGGTTTAAATAGGTTAGTGGGATTAGCCTCAACTATAGGATCGCTTGTTGTGGTATTTATTAATATGATGTTCTTAATGCCTATGTTCTAGATTTTCTAACTAGAAACCTGAACCTAGGATTTTAGTTTATTTAAGCAACATTTAGATAATTCTGAATATACTGAATCTATTCTATTAAGCTAGGATTTGCTAGAGTATAGTGATAGTTTGATATATAGGTATATAGTGAGTATATAAATTAACTTGCGCATAAAGTTTAACTAGACGCATCGATCGATATTCCTTCCGGCAATTGATCGACGTTGTGTAAAGTGAATCGATCGATATTCCTATAGAATATCGATCGACACTGTTATTGATCGAACATTCTTGTTTGGGTCAATAAGATCTAGCTAATAGACTTATTCAGTAAAGTGAATGCCTAATGAATTTGTTATTTAGTGGTTAAGCTCTTCAATACCATGCAAACAACTAATTAGCACCTATAGGATTATAATCTCCAACACCTGAATACAACCCTAAGTCTAACACCTTTCCAATTAAGTTTTAACCCTCAATCAATTTATTGGAGCAACTGCCTTGGTCAATTAGGATTACTGCTATTTTCTATTAATCTCGTTACTGCAATTTTACTTTTTAATCAACCTAGATTTATTACTTGATCAGATTTAATTGGTTCCCTAGCTCCTTGTGGATTTGATCCATAAATACTACAACTGATCTTTTATTTGAGAGAGTAAGTCACTCCTTAAGGTTAAATATTTGAGTGGTATCACTCGTCCTATCTTTGCCACGTAAATCAAGTACTTACAGTGATCAAACCAAGTGACATTCCAGGATCCTGTCAACTTTTACAACTCCATAAAAGTGACATTTCTTTTTTTTGTTTCTAATATGACATCCTTGTCTTGTTTTAAGTTATGCAATCTTGTTTGGTTTTCATCACCAAATCTTGACGAATTTCGTGGCAAATGATATGAAGTAGTCTCTGATGAATTCCAACATAGAAACACAATTAAATGACCTGAAAATTCAGGTAGTTGAGTATGTCACGCAAAAGGGTCCACAAGGATGAGATGTATGTTGGTGAATGTGGATGGATCATGAACTAAAAAATATAAGTTCATGTGATAAGGATGGTTTTCTAAAAATACGGATGCCGAATGTAAAGATGGTGGGGGCAATAAATAACTCATAAAACATGTCAGTCCTACATGTAGATTATGAAATTTAAACAATAGAATACATGCAGATGCTATAGTTCTCATAGATAGTGTTTGAAAAAAACATTTTCTTAGTTGGAGAAGATGATATCTACACCGATATAGAATGACAAACTTTCATGTCACTTATGAGGAAGCATAGCCGGTCCTAAGTAGAAGTGAGCCAAACCCATACTTCCAGCAACCAAATAATAATTATAAAATCAGCCACATTTTGTCAAATGTTCTTTAGCTAAGTTGGTAACTGCATAACCTTAGATTATACGAGCTTAGAGCACTTCCAATGGGATATTTACCCATTGTGGTTCTGGAAAAGTGTATATATGTGTATGTATGTGTTATATATGTGTATGTAGGTGTGGGGTCTACTAAATAATGTAAAATCTCTATTTAAAGGTTCTAAATTTTTTTTTAGAACTTTTGAATAGGAATTCTACACTATTTAGTGAACCCCATATCTACATATACATATATACATATATATATACCTTTTTTAGAATCTCAATAGATAGAAACCCCATTAAAAAATTTCTTACGTTACATTTGACATTATTTTTTATTTATAATTAATAGACCAAATTTGCTTGTTTTGCTTCTTGTCCATCGCTTCTTAAGATTAATTCTGGGAGGAAGTACACCAATGTAAAGTGTTATTTCATCATTTTATATTCTAACATATTCCAAGAGCAAGTAATATAATGGCTGGTAAACTTGAACTAGATGCTCGACATTTTCCTTCTGTTGTATGATGTTGATCATGCGTTTTTGAGATTGGTGAATACTGAATAGTCTTGAAATAGTATAGTTATTTCTGGAAAAAATACTTACTCTTACGTTTAACTAAATGATCATATTTAATGTAATTAATTTTTTTACTATTTTTTTCTTAATGGGAGAGTAGAAGATAAGGTTTTAGTATCTCACAATATGTATGATGTTATCTATTATATAAAGAAGAGCATCTCTCCTCCTGAGAGTGTCCACGTCGGATGCCAGCCTGGAAAGGCCACGTAAGATACAGTCCACGTAGGACAGCTTACGCCGTGTTTTATTAAACGCATATCTTGCGTATCTTCTCCTCCCTTCCTACGACACCGCCGCTTGACTTTCTCTTCCCTTCCCTGAATGAACAGCCAGATGCATCTCCTGTAACGGAAGGCGTTGTGATTACTGCGTCTTCAATCACATTAATTCGTGATCTTACTACGAGAGCTTCTGATGCGTTGTTTCGACGGCGATTTCTGTATTAATAGGTTAGTGTGCTAATCTCTCTTCCTTCATGGTGATGAAGGGACCAGAGATAAAGATTCTTCTCATGGCACAGAGAGACCCAAATTATCAGTTTCTTCAACCAATGGAAATTCCCTCCGCCGTGGAGAAATCGAAACGACTCCAACTTCATCTGCCTTATCTCCGATGGGGTCAGCAGAGATTCATCAGGTGCGTCAAGCTACCCGTTTTCCTCACCTTTATTTCTTCGTCTCCTTCTCCCTATTGAAACTAGGAGATGACGCCGTTGGAAACCAAAGGTACCGACTTTAATAAATGGAGGTGAACTCTGCAACTCCACCGTGGAATCTGAGGACGACAAGAGCTGCTTCTAAAGAACCTGGGAGATGGGCCCACGAGGATCACTGGCAGCAACAGAGGTAGTAACGAAGGAGGTAGTGATGGAGATTCGCAGAAACTGTTCTTTGTTGAGGGAAGAAGTCGAAAAAGATTTCACAGCCTTCATTGGGAAATAACACCTCCTCGAAGACAAAAGAAAAGACCAAGAACTGTTCAGAAGCAAATTATGTAATATTCCCTTCTCTCTTTCCCTACCACAAATAATGTTTTATATCTTTGCTCTGTTGCTTATCGCTGAATCTGAAATCATGACTGGGACAGATGCTATAGAAGAATCTAAAAGGGATGAGAACTTGGTTTGTTTATGGCAGTGAGAACGTATCAGCTGATAGGATCAAGAGCTGACCCAGAAGCTTCCTGATTCCAGCAAATCAAATGCCGTTGAACAACATAAAATCTGTTTCACCCAATTCAAAAGTGAGAAATTTTGCGAGTTATTAAGATTGGTAATTTTTATCTTCACTTCTCCTTCTCTGAAATTGTCTTTTTAGTTTTCCTTCTTTTACAGGATTCATTTGGTAAGAAGCTAATGGATAGGATCCGGCCAACCCAACCCCGGTTCCTGCACAGTACTCTTCGTCCGCCTCTACCCTGGTGTCTCAGGCGTCTTCTAAAGCTGCATCGGAGGTTTGCATCTGCGCTATCCAATGTCGTCTGTAGAGAAGCAAATCCAAGGGAACCATGTTGATGCATATCCACAGCAACACTATAGGTGTTGCCAAATTTGCACTTAATCCTCCTAAGTCCAGTTTCATGCCGCAAATTTAGAGACAAGTTGGTCTTTCTCTTTCCCTCTGTTCATATACACTTGGATTTGTAATATAAGGAATTAAAAATGCTTCTCTTTTGTTGTTCTATGTGATCAGAAAAGACAGAACTCTGAGCAAGTAGAAGAACAAGATCCACTTATTAGTTGATGTTCTTCTTTGTAAAGAGTATTCACTAATTAGCTGACGCCTTGGATCATGTTAGGTTTTGCTCTTATTCTCTGCCTTTGAACCACTCTTCTGATGAAAATTATATATCAATCTGGCTGTGTAATGTATACCCACTGGTATATATTCAAATATTTTAAAAAAAAAATTGAGACTAATGTTCACACAAATTTGGAGACTAATGTTTATGGTAAATTTTAATAGGCCTTTAGACACTTCTCTGTTCCTGCATTACCTTTAATCTGTTTTTTTTTTATCCTTGATTGCAGCTAAGCAGGCTTTGTACCAAACAAATGATCTGCTTCTTATACGCCAAGGCTGCCTTGCTTCAAGCGGGGCGTCAATACCCTGACAACAACATCAGGGAGTACACAAAGTAAAAGATCTTGGATGGGTTCCGTATGACCAAGAAACTCACTGACCCATCAAAGATGGAGGAGGCTTCTGCTGAAGGTAATGCACAGCTGGGGGTTGTAGAGAGGGTGCTCAAGGTTTACTCGACATATCCTCCCAAGACCAAAACATCATGGAACTCAAACTTCAGTAGTAGATGTACATTTTGCATTTTCAGTACCCTCAAAACATATTTGTTATTGTTCATGTTTTTCAGTTTTTTTCCAACTATGAAACTTTACTTTGTGCTATTCGTATGTCACCTTTGGCTTATGGCTGCAGACCTTTATAAAGTGGAGAGAGGACGCTACCAGAGAATAATCATGGATTAGAGCAGAGATAAAGAGCAAAAGGTCTTTTGTTAATTGTTTTTAATAATAAACCTCACAAGATTCTGGGTTGTTCCATTGAAATGATCGCAACTTTTCTGTAGTTTATGTTGATCTTTAGCACTGATGCTGTTAGGTTATAGAAATAAAGAAAATCACAAGCTATACTTTAGAAGCTAATAGTAATATTTTTTTTTTTAAAAAATATCCTAATCTGTTCATTTATTTGATTTGATAATTTCTTAAATTAAATATGGTTATTTTTAAGTAGTAAAGATCAATATTAAACTATTATACAGATTAGCTTTTTTTTTTGGAACGTCAGATTAGCTAATTTAGAAAATAAATTTTACACTAATTCTCCTTTCCATTATGAAAAGCTTGATTTAGAAGAAAATGTATAAGAAATTATAAAACTATCAAAGGGATTAAAAGAAATTTATAAGAGAGAGAATTCATGATCTATGTAGTGAACTTCAAATGTAATTCTGAATAATATATTTACTTATTTTATAATTAAGTTAGAACAAAAAAATAGTAACACTAATTAAAAAGTGTATGATTTCTAACAAAAATAACAAAAATCAAATAATTGTTATTAATTTAGAATAAACTAAATATTTCTAAATGTATATAAAATATCTTTATAAGAATTCATTTGCGTACCTGCCCGTAAGATATATTTACCCTTAGGTGCATAGATTTTAGTGGCCTTTGAAGATATTTTTGGGATGAGTGATTAAAAATGAAAAAATCTTTACAACAATATTTCACTAATAAAAATATACATAAATGTTCATAATAAATAGTTTACACTATAAATATGTTTAAAAATATGCAAACCATGCAAAAGTTTTAGTACTTCAGTAATGGAAATCCAAATACTACGTATTTCAGTTTCTTTTTAAAGTATGTTAGTTATTTTAAGACAACAATCCTCATTGTTTATAGAACAAAGAATATTTAATTTAGTTCGAATGTAACTTCAGATCTCTTTAAATAAAATTCTACTAATGGATCCTCTGAATCTTGAATGGAACATAGAATCCATTATGAATCTCTTTCCCCTTAATCTGAAATCATATGTTTAAGAGTAAGACCAAGGAAGAAATGGTCCATAGATGCTCATATTTGTTTTCTAAAACAATCTAGCTTATTTTACCAAAACCAAGTATCACCCAACAATAAACTTAAAAATGAGACTGATGAACACCAGGAACAATAATGGTTTTGAACTTTAATGGATTAAAAGAAATTTATAAGAGAGAGAATTCATGATCTATGTAATGAACTTCAATGTAATTCTGAATAATTTATTTACTTATATTATAATTAAGTTAGAACAAAAAAATAGTAACACTAATTAAAAAGTAATTTTTATTATAGTTAGATAAGTGTATGATTTCTAACAAAAATAACAAAAACCAAATAGTTGTTATTAATTGAGAATAAACTAAATGTTTCTTTAATATAGAAACAACATGAAGACTATTTGAAGCCCTCATAACATAACAATGCCATATTTCTTTAATATAGAAACAACGTCTAAGTTGACCAAAAAAAAAAAGAAACAACGTCTATTATTTTTTTTGGACAACAAAAATAACTATTGCAAACAAGCAAAAGAAATCTTATGACATATAATCCCTTATAGCCTAAAATTTTTTGAAAAACAAAAATCACTATCATAATCATCTTTTGCAAATGAAAATCTAAAATACAAACTATAAAAATATTAATAACCTAGATCACAAGGTAAAGTATATCCCGCCCGTAGGGCGGGCTGGTCCTAGTAAAGTTTATAAGCGAGTCTCATATGGTTGGTTGATATATGAGTCTCCGAAAGTTATTTCGAAGGACAATAATATGAGTTAAAGAATCTATGTATAAAAATTCATTGAAATGATTGAAAATATAATAAATTTAATCAAGTATAAATCGATATTTTGGAATTGATTATCCGATTAATATCCAAAGTTTAAACTATTCCAAGTTCAATACATGCAGCCAAATCCAAACCGAATCCGACCCGATTCTTTATAATATCTGAACTGGGGCTAACAATTTGTAAAGTTAAAAACCCAAAACTTGATTGAAACTTCGATTGCCTAGCTATGGTAGAAGATATTAAAAGTGTTGAACAGCAGAAGCATCGTCTTATTATCCTAAGGGAGTGTTAGTGGGATATGGATTTATATTATATTTGTTATTGTTTGGTGGTAACTTTTTTTTTTTGAGAAACTGAAATTTCGTAAAAGGTAAAAGAGTTTAGTATGGGCCTAGACCCTACCGATAATTTGTTACAAAGGGATACTTTGGCCCAGTGGTCCGCAGGTCCATTTAGGTTTCTAGGAATGAACGAAAAGAAAACAGAGAGAAATGAGGAGTCGGTGATCGATTCAATGTCAGCAAGCACTCCAAAGAGTACCACAGATCGTTGCTTCATGGAGATAGCTGTGATGAGCCCCTTGCAATCTGATCGAAGCCAGATACTATTGATGCCTAGAAAGACAGCGTGGCCTAGGGCAGCCCGAATCGCCAGTGCGTCCGCCATAAGTGGTGAGGAAACGTGATGTTGGTGGAGACAACCCCGATTTACAACCGCTCATGCTCGATTAGTGAAGATCCCTGCTAGTCCCGCTTCTTTTGAGTCTTTATTCCATGCCGCGATGGTGTTGCAAACGATGGTCGAAGGAGAGGACATCTGAGGAGGGAGTTGTTTGAGGAGAAAGCTCGGTTGTTGATTGGTGGGGGTTTGGGACTGTTCCCATTCCCTGAGGAGGGCGATGGATTTGGAAAGGATTTCCACTGGTGAGATCTGTTTGTTTTCGAAGATGAGGGAGTTTCGGTTAATCCATAGTCTCCAGAAGATCCATGGGAAGAGATTAGCTGCAGTTCCGATGGGTGGGAGATTCAGCATCAAGAGTGATCGTTGCAGCGTTAATCTGAAGGAAGAGCAAGTAATTGGAACCAGATGAGTTGTCCAGGGGCAGATTTCCCAAACTTGTGATGCCGTTTCGCAGTGGAAAAAGATGTGTTCAAGGGTCTCCTCCGCACCACAAACATGACACAAGGTATTGCTTAGTAGTCCCCTTCGACGGAGATTGTCTCCCGTGGGTAGGTTGTTTATTGCACAGCGCCATATGAACATCTTAACTTTAGGAAGTAGATTCATTGACCAAACAATTTTTTCCCAATTCCAGTTTGGGTCATCCAAGACTGGAAGGGTCGATTGGATTTTTGTAGCTTGTGTTGAGAAATACCCTTATTTACCTGAGTAAATACCACTTTCTTTGTGTGTCCAGATGAAAGAGTCACCTCGACATTTGATGCTTGGTCTAATGGAGAGAACATGTTCTGATAATTCTAGGAGGAGTCTTTCCACCTTATCTCTGTTCCACTCTTTCGTTTCTCTTGACAAGAGGTCAGCGACCATGAGATCTTGGTTTTCCTGGAGAACCGGTCCATATGACCTTAAGTCACTCGCTGGTAGAACCCATGAGTCTTCCCAGACCTTTGTAGATTCGCCATCACCTATAGCTTTCCCCAAATGTTTGATGAGAAGGTCTCTGCCAAGTAGAATTCCCTTCTAGCCGTGGGATGATGTTGCCAGTTTGGTAGCTTTAAGAAAAGATATTTTATGGCAGTATTTGCCTAACAGCGTTCTGGCTAGAAAACAGTTCGGTTTAGTGATAATCCTCCAGCCAATCTTTGCTAGGAGCTCCTGGTTAAAAGCTTGGATGTCTCTGAAGCCCAACCCTCCTAGTATTTTTGGTAGTGTTAGTTTATCCCACGATGTCCAGCATATTTTCCTTTCTCCTTCTTTTGAATTCCACCAGAAATCAGTTAGTTCTGACTGGATTTTTTTGCATAAACACACAGGTAGTTCAAAGCATGACATAGCATAAGATGGAATGGGAGACATGACTGATTGTAGCATGGTAGCTTTACCCGTAGTAGAGAGGAAGCATGAGGAGTAGCTTACAGCCTTCTGGTGGATCTTTTCCACAACAGAGCCAAAGAGATCTCTTTTCCTGCGTCTGAAGTGCTCTGGTAAGCCAAGATACTTTCCAACCCCCCCCCCTTCTTTGTCAATGCCAAGTTGTGTTTTAACTCTTGTTCTTACGTCCTGCGGTGTCTTCGCAGAGAAAGAGATGGACGATTTGGACGTGTTAATCATCTGGCCCGAAGCAGCTTCATAGCTATGGAGGATGTCCAATAGAGCTATGCAGCACTGTGGGTCTGTCTTTGTGAAAAACATGGTATCATTAGCAAAAAGAAGGTGATTTATGCTCGAGTTGTTTCTTGCAACTTTTAATCTTGCTAAAGTCCCTTTGCCTTGAGCTTTTTTTTTGCAGAGACCCGAGAGGACCTCTCCGCATAGTATAAAGATGTATGGGGAGAGGGGATCACCCTGACGTATCCCCCACTGAGAATGGACCATTCCTGACGCCTCGTTATTGATCAGAAAGGAGTAAGTGACTGTTGTTATACATTGCATAATCCAGTGAGTAAACTTTGAGTGAAAACCCATTCTCTCCAGCACCGCTTTAATAAAGGTCCATTCCAACCTATCATAGGCCTTGCTAATATCTCTTTTGACTGCCATGGAACAGTGGATGGTGGCGCCTGAGTTATGTAGGTAGTGGAGCATCTCATGTGTTATCAAGACATTATCGGAGATGGCTCTACCAGGTACAAAGGCAGATTGATTTTCTAAGATGACCTCTTGTAGCACTGGTTTAAGTCGTATCGAAATGATTTTAGAGATCACCTTGTAGTAGACATTGCAAAGAGCAATAGGTCTGTAATCTGACACAAGTTTTGGTCCCATGATCTTAGGAATAAGCCTGATGTGAGTCTCGTTTATTGAGAAGGGAAGTGAACCAGTTGAGAAAAAATCTTGAGTTTCCTTTGTTATTGCAGGACCCACCGTATCCCAATTTGACTGGAAGAAACTTGCGGAAAACCTATTAGGACCCGGTGCCTTATCTGGATGTATGGAGAACATGGCCTCTTTGACTTCATGGTCAGAAGGAGGAGTAATGAGAATCCCATTTGTGGCCTTTGAGATGCAGAGAGACGGGGCCTGCAGTACCAAATCCGCTGCATGGGGATTATTTTAGGTAAAGATGGCGTTGAAGTAGTTTGATATAGCGTTGAAGTAGTTTGATATGACATGTGCAATTTGTTCTTCCTCAAAGAAAAAAGTGCTAGAGGAGTCTTCGATAACCGTTAGTCTGTTGCGTGTCCTTCTGCTTTTTGTTGAAGCATGGAAGTAGGCAGTGTTCCTATCTCCAAGGACCAACCACGTCTGACGACTTCGGTGTTCCAATAATTTTCTTCGGCTTTGTAGGCATATATAACACTCTTGTTGAGAGAAGAGATGTAAGCATCATCAGTATTAAGATCAGTCATAGCTTTGTTTAACTTCTCCTTTAGATCAGTGATTTATTTTTGGCTGTTGACGTAATGATCTCTGCTCTAAATGGAGATGGCTTTCCTGTATCTGGTAATTCTCTCAGCTATCTGGAGGTGATTTGATTCCCTCTATGTCTTGTCAATAAGCTGCTTGATCTCAATAACTTAGGTTATTAAAGTGGTCGGTGGTAACTAAAGTGTATATTTTGTGAACATTTTCGTACGAAGTGATTGGAGTGTATATTTCACTCCCAATAACTTAGGTACCATTTATTAAAAAGCAATGAAAAATAGAGGGCTAAAATTTGATAATATAAAAACGTGTTGGGCGAAATGAGAAAAACTATGCGGACGCGTTGGTCGGTTAAAGCTCGTTTACGGTTAACTGTCTCCGTAGACATATGGTGGGGTGAATTGTGATTCAAATCGGAAAACCTCCATCGCTGTTTTGTTCTTTGAATCTTTTTGAGTTTTGTTCGATTTTGCATCTGAGAGAGAGAGAGAGAGAGCAGATCCGAAGGAAAGAAAATGCAAGCAAGGCATGGCCAATCGTCGTATCGAGATCGGACGGACGAGTTCTTCGGCATCGTTGAAACTCTGAGGAGATCAATTGCTCCTGCGGCGGAGAATAATGTGGCGCACGGTGGTGGAGGAAGGAGAGAGGATCCGAGATCCGCGGTGGCAAATCAGTCTGAGTTCAGAAAGAGAGCTGCTGTCATCAGCTTAGCTATCAACCAGACGTCGCAGAAGCTTTCGAAGCTTGCTCAACGTAAGTTTATTGTGGATCTGAAGATGTGGAAATTAGCATAGTTTATGATTAACTTGGTATATCTTTGCCATTTACTTGTACAAGATCTCAACCTTGTCTGTTTTTCCTTACGAGTAAGGAATTAGAACGAAACAAAAATCTTGTTTGTTTCTGAATATGTTATTAGTGCTGGAATATTGTATAGATTATGATACCAAAGCTAAATATTTAGCAGTGGCGGAGAAGCATGATTGTTGTGTATTACTTCACATAACCCTTTCTCGATAACTTGCCTTGCTTAGGAATTAGGATTTGGATTCTTTGAAACCAAAAACTCGTTTCTGAAGATGTTGGATTTTTCATAGTTTATGATGCATAATAGTCTTTGGCATTATTACTACTAGTCTACATGATCTTATACCTTTGAGGATATGCTTTTATTAACTTGGTCACTTTGTTGTAAAAATCAGTGGCGAAGAGATCATCAGTTTTTGATGATCCCACACGGGAGATACAAGAGCTGACTGCTGTAATCAAACAAGAGATCTCTTCTCTGAATTCCGCTCTCATCGACCTTCAAGCTGTACGCAACTCTCATAATGATGAACGGACCATCTCTAGAGACACAACTACTCACTCAGCAACTGTTGTTGACGATCTCAAGAATCGCTTGATGGACACTACCAAAGAGTTTAAGGATGTTCTTACTTTGAGAACCGAGGTTCTCTTCTTTCTTTGCTTTCCCTTTAGATTTCTCTCTTTACTCCTTCCTTAATTCCATTACTATGTCTGGTGTTGCAGAACATGAAAATCCATGAAATTCGAAGGCAAAGATTCACGTCTAACCCTTCAAAAGAATCAACAAACCCATTTGTTCGCCAGCGCCCTTTGGCTTCTAAGCCTGCTGCTACTCAACCTGCTCCTCTTCCATGGGCAACTACCTCTTCTTCTTCTTCTTCTTCGTCTTCTTCTTCTTCATCGTCTCAGTTAGTCCCAAGGTAATGTACTATTGTTTCAAACTCGAACGTACTCTCTTGAGATCTCCTTTGTGATGCATTCACGAGAGAAGTCAAGACCTTTCTGTATGTTGTGCATTTCCAGGAGACAGGGAGAGGCCGAATCTTCTCCATTGTTGCAGCAGAGTCAACAACAACAACAGATGGTCCCGTTGCAAGACACTTTTATGGAGAGCCGCGCAGAAGCTCTACACAACGTAGAATCAACAATCCATGAGCTAAGCAATATCTTCACACAACTAGCAACCATGGTTTCTCAGCAAGGGGAGATAGCTATCAGGTTCGTCAACACCAAACTGTGTATAAAGAATCGTTGAACATTTGTGGACAAGGAAGTTATATAATGTTTTGTTGAAAATTGGTTTTGTACAGGATCGATCAGAACATGGAAGATACATTGGCGAATGTGGAAGGAGCACAGAGCCAGCTGGCCAGGTATCTCAACAGTATATCATCGAACCGATGGCTCATGATTAAGATTTTCTTCGTACTGATTGCATTTCTCATGGTTTTCCTCTTCTTCGTGGCCTAATATTGAGATATATATATATTCTAAAAGAGTTTCAAACATCTAGAGATGGTTCTCTTTCCTGTCGTATCTTATTGACATGTAAAGACTAGATAAAAGGATCTTTATTCTCTCTGTTCAGATATATACAGCCAATTTTTATGTAAAATTGATTTACGTTGCCCAAACATTTTTTTTTTTATTCTGCTTCTTTTCACTTCTATAGATTTTTACCATTCACAATGCTATTGATAGTTGTCAATATATTAAGAGTTTAAAACATTGCATAGTGCCGATAAAAAAAATATATTCAATAGTATTGTGGTGGTATAAATTAAATTCAATTTCTATATTTCGTAAATGTATCCCAACGAATGCGTGGGATTTGTATTGTGAACAGTTTCTGATTGCAATATAAACTTCCTTGGGTTCTCGATTCCCCATTGTCGTTACTGAATCTCCCACAATATCCTATGCTGATAAAAAAGCAGTCGATAATCCATGTGGGCCTTATGATTGTATCTGCACCGATAAAATACAAAGAAGTTTTTTTCTTTTTCTTTTCGAACGACTCTTCTATTATTCAAGTGTGAGATGGTCTGAAGAACCAGACCGGAATAGAACAACCAATGTAATACAAACTCCTATAAAAGGATCTCGTTATCCTTGCTAATGAATTTGACGATACATTCTTAACACGAAGGATAAAAACAATCGAAAACTCTGTGAATCTCTCCTTTAGCCTTGAGAACTCATGTAATTTTGTGTAAAAGTTTGGCTATGCTCCTGGATCGTGGATCATCATGATTAGATCCTTCCAGTCAGTACTGAACGCCTGACACGTCAACGTCTGCAACATGCACTCCATTGCCAACATAAGTGCCTCTAATTCCGAGTGTAGAGATGAGATTCTCCTACTCTGGTTTTTGGTTCTTAAAAGTTGGATTTGTCCACCAGAATTCTTCCATGTCCAACCACAACCACTAAAGAGTGCGTCCTAAGTCCATGATCCATCCACCATGCATCTTCCTGAATCATCCAAAAGGTCTTGCGGCTCATTCTCCGTGATTATCCCTTCCACTCTATTATTTGCTTCGAACCAAGCATGGCATTCTGATTCTGCATGTATGACAGTTTCCAAAGAAGTTTTCTTTTAGGTTGCCAAAAATCAATAACTTTATATTAGCTTGCGCTATATGTAAATGAAAATATTAGATTGTTTAATTTACTCATAGGATATATATTTATGTTTTTTACACTAGTTAAATTATACATTAAAATTAAGAGAAATGTTACATATATGATATTAAATTCCATCTTCTTATGTTGGTCGCATGTAAAAGAAAATATTAGATTGTATAATTTAATTATTTAACTATGACTATTAGATGATAACATGCGCTCTGCGCAGGGTGATGAAATTTTAAAAAATTACAATTTGAATATTAGAAAGGTAAAAAACATAAACACAAATATTACATGTTGTTTATGTTAAGGGGTTCAACGGAATTGCAGATATGTAAATAAAGTAAGCTTCGAAGTTTTTAAAAACTTGTATTATTTATTTTGTATAATTGAAATATAGTTTGTGGAAGTGAATCTATAAGAATAAGCAAAAACTTATATAAAATTAATGAAGTCTGTCATTGGTGTTTTCTAGTGAACTTCTGGTTTTGTTAATGATGATTCGGAAAGAGTGATCTGGTGAGGAGATGTTTTGAAGACGCTGCGTATTTATATACTATGATGATGTATGTTTAGGGTTTTAATGATGAAAACAAATTTCCAAAAGTATAGAAAATATTTCTAATAAATATTCCCAAACTTGCGGTACAATTTATTTTAAAACTTGTCTTAACACATGTTGTAATAAAAAACGCAGTTCTCAAATTATGCGAAATTTGGATTTCGAATTGTATATGGAAACTTGTTTCTCAGCGACTATAATTGAGAAAATTACTTGATGGTTTTAAAAAATCAATTAGTAAAAGTTATGAATCGATTCCAAACTTGATTCAAAATTTTAGGTCTGAATGATACGTTTTCAAATCAATCAATGAATTGAATACATATTTTGCGTGGAAAGAAAGACATAATAAAATATTATACATTGTTTACGGAAATTTAATATATTTCTGAATAATATATTTTTATTTTAAAAAATCAATCAATGAAAATTAGGAAATCACTCATTGATTTACTTTCTAAGTATAAATTCGAGGTTTTGGAATTGCATAAATATGACTTGTATTGGGTGACTAAATAAAGAACTCATATAAATATGATATCAATTCAAACTTTAAAATAAGGAACTCGTATAAATATGGCATAATCCATATAGGAAATATATAACAATTTGATATACACTTATTATATAAATAAATACAAATTCATAACGTGATCATATAAATAACATATAATTTGATATACTTTTTATATATCTATATTTTACTCGAATAAAATAATACAGTAGTTTATAAATTTCGAGTCTATATATACAATTTTTTATTTATCTACATTTTACTCAAATAAAATAATGCTGGAGTTTATAAATTTTTGAGTCTATATATGTACTATGTACTATATTACTCTAAAATGAATGAGATATGGTATGAAGGCTAATCAGATCTTTAAAATTACACAATCCATAACGTTTTGAACATGCATCTAAAATGAAACATATAAAATCAATCAATGAACTGAATACATATTTTGTGTGGAAAGAAAGACCTAATAAAAGATTATGCATTGTTTACGGAATTTTAATATATTTCCGAGTAATAGTTTTTTATTTTAAACAATCAATCAATGAAAATTAGGAAATCACTCATTGATTTACTTTCTAAGTATAAAGTCGAGGTTTTTTAATTTTCTAAATATGACTTGTATTGGACGACTAAATAAGGAACTCGTATTAATATGTTATGCAATTCAAACTTTAAAATAAAGAACTCGTATAAATATGGTATAATCCATATAGGAAATATATAACATATAGTTTGATATACACTTTTACTATAAATAACTACAAATTCATAACGTGATCATATAAATAACATATAATTTGATGTACACCTTTTATTTGTCTATATTTTTACTCGAAGAAAATAATACTAGAGTTTATAAATTTTTGAGTCTATATACACATTTTATATGTCTACATTTTTACTCGCATAAAATAATAATAGAGTTATAATTTTTCAAGTCTATATATGTACTATATATTATATTACTCTAAAATGAATGTGATATTTGTATAAAGGCTGATCAAACCTTTGAAATTACAATATCCATAACGTCTTGAACATGCATATAAATGAAACATATAATATAATCACTTGGTAGGTTTATTTAGTAATGACATGACATGTAATTAGTCTAAACAAGAAATAACTATTTAATTAAGGATGTGAGGTATATTGTGATGTTGACACTTAAAAAATGGCAAAGTTGTTAATCATACATGAGGATAAAATTTATTTTTAAAAGGGCTCTTCAAATAATAATAAGAAGATATAGATAAATTTAATACAATTTCTTAATTTACTATTCTGAGATATATGCGTATAGGATATATGTTTTGTTTTTCACATATGTTTTTTCACATTGGGTTAGTTATGTATTAAAAACTATAAAAAAATATTACATGCACTTATAAAAAAAACTAGAGCCATGAATACCTTATCGACAATAAAAAAAAATATATATATATATATGTGTGTGTGTGTGCGTGCGTGTACTGTGGTGATAAGGAGCTCTCGATCTAAAGTCGCAACACTTGTTTTGATACACATCATTGATCCTGATAAATTATAAATTTTGATGTGGATAGTTGAGTTAGCTGGATTGATTTATAACATTACGTGTTTTCCTGCACCATATCCCCGATGAGAACCATATGTGCAAGTTTCTCTTGCATGTGGTTCATCTGTGCTTTCCAAGACGCTGCCTATTAAATTATATTTAAAATAAAAAAATTAAAATTATATTTAAAATAAAATTTATTAATAATATATATTTTATTATTTTGACTAATATTAATATAAATTTTGCCGACAAATCTAATTTTCTTATGCGGTTCACATCTAACTACATTAACCTGAGCTATCAAATGAAGTTTTTTTTTAACAATATTTATTGCGTCATGTTGAAGATCTCTTGTAAATTTTTTCTCCAATAATATGCATAATTTACCTTTCTCGAGTGACTGAAATTCAGAATCTGTATAAATTCATTAATGAACATTTGATCAAATCACTAGAAGCTTCCACATACATTTATGTTTAAAACTGAAAAAACAAATGTGTTATCTCCTAATCCACCAATCCGATTAAGCATCAACGCATAAATCATGTAGAACTAGACATTCTCTTTGTCGGGAATATGTTGCTCTTGATCAAATGTCCTTCCGCCTTGGTATGCCTTCCTCGCGTCAAGTGCAGTCTCAGTGTCCGCAATTTTTGATGTTGCAACTGAGGGATGATATTAGAATATAATATATCATTCTTTGTATGATAAGAGCTAGTAATTAGCCTTCAACAGATACACATCTCATATGGAATTACCTAATCAAACATGGAGAAGCTTGCCGAAATGGCTAAAACAAAACGTCCAAAATAATTGTCTTATGTATATGCAACAAAAAATTATAAGGAACGGTTACAAGAATAACAAAATCAAAGAAACGTCACTGAAATTGAAGAAAATGATTATGCATGTTATGCATTAACTTGCTAACGTTTACAAAGGAGAATTTATATAGTCGGAGGATTCTAGTTTAACTATACTGATTACTCCAACAAGAAGCAATTCAGTTTAACTTAAACCAACAAAGTGATTCGCGATTTAATTAGTTACCTTCTGTAGTCTCACTATGATCATCTCTTTATCTTTTAACTCATACTGAAAATTACTTTGTTGTACTAATAAATACTAAGGATGGACAAAAAAAACAAACCGAACCAAACCGAACCAAACCGACCCAAACCAAATACAAACATATGTCTAAACTATTTAGTTTAACATTTTATCAAACCAAATGGTTTGGTTTGGTTTTTAAACCGAACCAAACCAAAAAACCAAAGTGTTATTAATTAGATTAATTAAATATATTAATAATATTAAATTTTAACATATTTAACCATTTAATAACCCAAACAAGTAATTTTATATATTTTAATTTTATATGAATAGAATAACATTAACTAAAAATAAAATAAAAGAATATAAATCTCATACATTAAGATCAAAAAAAAAAAATACTCATGCTATGTATATTTGATTTGAAGATGATAATATTCTATTATTGGATTATATCTTCTTTATTTTTCTTGTGATGTTTTGTTTTACGTTTAATATAAATAATGTTAATTTGATGTTAAATGATGATTTGTTATGTTTTTATAAATTATATTTTTGTAATTGAACTAAAACAAAACTAAACATCAATTTAATTGAACTGAACAAATACAAATACAAACATAACCAAATTAAATTAAACCAAGCACAAACCAAATCGAACACTAACCGAATCAAACACAAATCAAACAGAACTAAAATCGAACTGAACGCAAACCAAACCATACTCATTTGGGTTGACTTTGGTTAAAGTTTTTATGTACCTATATAAACCAAACCAAACCAAACTCATAATTAAAGCGAAATGTCCATCCCTAATAAATACACACAGTAAGGGGGACACACTTCATAATCTTAGTAACACAATATTATAGACAATAAGAATATCGACGCAAATCATTTATTATATTCAAGCTTCAAAACTCGAGGAGGCGCCTCATGACGCCAAGCAGCTCAATATGTGACGTCATTTGTGGAAAGTGACCCATCGCGTCCTCGATAATGTCCACCGTCGATTCCCCTTTGATCTTCTCCTGCATGAAGTAGGCGACGGAGACAGGTACAATGACGTCCTTTCCTGGCTGTATGACGTGGCAAGGCACTGACACTTGGCCTAAGAGTTCTCTCTCGTCGCTGCCAAATACTATCTTAGCTAAAGCAAGAGCCGTGTCGGCCTTCATCTTCTTAAGACATTTCTCGAACCTTTTGACTGAGAGAGGGTCTTTTGAGTCAACCACTACGGAGGCGAAAGCAACCGCCCAAGCTTCGTAGTTGGAGCCAATGTTGGTGATGATCGTGTCAATGTCATTTGATTCAAACCCTCCTTTGTAATCCTCACTGTTTATATACCTATTGAATTTGTTTGGGTTAAAATTAAATAAACCTAAGTGTTTCCATTTCAATCTATGAAGTACTAACTTTACTCTATTTGATCATTTTATTAAAGTTATATATATAAGCACGTTCCATTAGACATATATATAGTCAAACACTCGACTTTTGCATTAATTTATGGCCTCAAAATATTTTCAATCAAAATGATAATTCATTTTCGCGGATACTACTTGTTAAAATTGGAACTAAAACATTGAGCCTAGGATTTGCCCAAAAAAACATTGGGCCTAGGATTTGATCCAAAAAAAAACATTGGGCCTAGGTAAAGATTACACGCACTAATAAAAAAACTATGTATTCTTTAGTAAATAAATAATTATAATTCAATATATTGACTAGGTGTTTTGCCCGCACATGCGGGCTTAATTTTCTTATGAATATTTATTATTTTTTGTTTTATTAATTATAAAATAATATTATAAGTTATTTTTTATAGTTTTAAAAAACCTAAATCAAACATTAAAATATTTTTATATGAGTATATATTTAGATCATGGATAATTCTTATCATTATTATTAATTTAAATCATTTATCTAATCAAATAAGTTTAATTATTTTTAAATCAGTTTTAAAAAACATCAAAATAAATGATTATTTGCATCCAAAAAATTCGACCTAAAATATTAAAATTTTTTACATGATAAATTTATTTACAAACTATTTTTCATTTGAAACTTTGAAAAATTTAAAGTCTTTTTCATTTTTTCTTAATTGATAAAAAGATTTGAAAAATTGAATCGATAAATTTACATTCAAAAATTGATCTTACAAAAAGAATAACATTAGTTTAGATAATAGTACAATATATTTGAATTTATTTTTGTCAAACACGTATTTTCTTAAGGTTTAACTATATAAAATATAAATTTAAATTTAATTTAACATGTAAGTTCATAGGCGAAAAATAACTTCACAGATACATATCATTATATTATATTATTATATTATTTTTAATTTAAAAATAATTATGTATTATAATTCAATTTTCTTTTTTGAATTATATACAATTAAAAATTTTACTTTATGAATATTTATTTATGTGTTTTCAGTTTTTGAATCTTTTTAATTAAAATATATTTTCCGGATAACAACACAATATCTATATAGAAATTATCTTTTTATTTTTAAATATATATTTAGATTATGGATAATTCTTATAATTATTATTAATTTAATTAATTTATCTAATCAAATAAGTATTAAATTCGTTTTTATTTTTGGCTGATTTATATATTTTATTCATTAAGGGTATAAACGATATTAACCACACTAACTTTTAACGTGGGAGCTCCGTTGCGAAAAATCACTTATTTTTCATTTGAAACTTTGAAAAATTTAAAGTCTTTTTCATTTTTTCTTAATTGATAAAAAGATTTGAAAAATTGAATCGATAAATTTACATTCAAAAATTGATCTTACAAAAAGAATAACATTAGTTTAGATAATAGTACAATATATTTGAATTTATTTTTGTCAAACACGTATTTTCTTAAGGTTTAACTATATAAAATATAAATTTAAATTTAATTTAACATGTAAGTTCAGAGGCGAAAAATAACTTCACAGATACATATCATTATATTATATTATTATATTATTTTAATTTAAAAATAATTATGTATTATAATTCAATTTTCTTTTTTGAATTATATACTATTAAAAATTTTACTTTATGAATATTTATTTATGTGTTTTCAGTTTTTGAATCTTTTTAATTAAAATATATTTTCCGGATAACAACACAATATCTATATAGAAATTATCTTTTTATTTTTAAATATATATTTAGATTATGGATAATTCTTATAATTATTATTAATTTAATTAATTTATCTAATCAAATAAGTATTAAATTCGTTTTTATTTTTGGCTGATTTATATATTTTATTCATTAAGGGTATAAACGATATTAACCACTCTAACTTTTAACGTGGGAGCTCCGTTGCGAAAAATCACTTCGCAAATAATAGTATAGATTTCAGCTCAATAGTCAATATATCGAAGAATAAGCTGCTTGGAAGATAAGTGGTCCACGTAATATATATGCATATCTACTGTCTTATGTTTGATTGGTTTATTATATGAATCTACAATTCACACATGACAATGTAGCATGCATATAGAGGCTGCAGGGAAATAATACAAATCATACATGTCATATCCATCTAACAAGTTAGAAGGTGATATCCTGGCCACATCCTCAACACTTGGCAACAGATACAACTTCATACGATCCACATAAAATTCATTAATTATCGCCTAAACCATAGTTTCTCGCCTTCTTTCACGAAACAGTTAATTCATCAGGAATATTGTACGATCGATGAGATGATAAAGTCCTTTTTAAATTATGATTTCATGTGTTATAGTTCTCTCAAGAACGTAGTTATATTAGTCACTTGCTTCACCTTATTTACGGGATATATACGCATTATTTACGTCTCTCTTTTAACCATATCTAACATAGACGTAACTGATATTATATACAAGAGAGAAGATTACACATGTCTTTGATGTTTACGACTTTTCTTGCTTCTACAAATAAATGCTCCACTTTCAATTAAATTAAGAAAGAGTGTTAGAGTGAGTTTACCTGGGAGAAGCAGCAATAGAGATAAGATTTGTAAACAAATCGGGCCTTTTAATAGAAGCAGCACAACCGATCATGCCCGACATGGAATGGCCTACGAACACAACGGGGCCAAACTTCAACTCCTCCATAAGAGCAATAAGATCGTCAGAGAAGGGGTCCAAGGAGTTATACTTTGAAGGGTCGTATAGAGTTTGGTCTTTGATGGCTCCAGAAAAAAGCCAGTCAAAGACTAAAACCTTAAAAGATTGGGACAGAACCGGTATTATCTTGTCCCAGACCGACTGGTCGCATCCAAACCCGTGTGCCAAGACAATTGACCTCTCACCAGAACCGAGGATCTTGGCGTTCATAACGGCAGCGAGACCGGATATCTTCTGGTTAACCACCATGCTTAACTATAAGTGTGCTTTTAGAGATGAGACAAAGGGCTTTCGTATCTTATGTGCGTATATATAAAGGGAGAAGAAAATGGATTAGGTCTATATACGGTTCTTAATTGACATCCAACCACCCATTTTATTAGGCTCGCATTTTGGTACATTCAACATTTATGGCCTTTTCAACAATGACTGTATTTTTATTCATTGTTCATCTACATAGCATCTTATAGAAAAAAAATCAACATTCATCATAAATAAACCATACTCCCTTCGCATACAAAAGATTGATGTTTTTTTTTTGTTTTTTGTATTTGAAAAACTGATGTTTTAGACTTTAATTAATGTATTTTTCTTTAAACTAAAACATACATCTAATTCTAATAATATGAGTGGTATAATTTTATTGGAAAAAAAACAAAACGAAAATCACTAATAAAAATAGATTTAATTATTTGTTTATATGTACTCAAATTCTAAAATATTAGTTTTTCAAATTAAGAGGAAGTATATGAGAACAAATCCCTACTTTCAGTATAACGAAGGTATATTTATCTAGACTGAAAGTAAACTTACATAAACTACTTTTGTTTGTGCGTGTAAATGCATTAACTATTGTGACGTGTAGACATCAACATGATTTATATACACTATATTAACATAACAGTAGGTTAAGATCCACGTCTCGCACGGTATGAACATTGTATATATAAATTATCTTACATATTATATGTTCTTTTATATATTATGAAATAATAAATATATTAAATATGTAAAAATTCAGTAACTATTATGTGGATAATTAAATTTGTGCACACATAAATAAATTTTATTAATCCAAACAATCTTTTTCTATTTTCTATGGTCTATAATTTAATTTAGTTGATATTAACAAAGATATATAGTATATTTCTAATATTGTTTAAATATTAAGTTGTCAATATTTGTTCAAAGCTTTTGTCAAACAAAAATTTTTCTAAGCAAATTTTAAAACTAAAATATTTATTTATTTTGATATGGTATATAGTTAATTTTAAAAGAAAAATATATGTATATATATCTTTTAATCTTAATATTTATTAAATGGTACTTTCTATTTATATGATTTTATAATTATTTGTATCTTGTCATAACAAATTTTTTTTTACAAAATGGATCACAAAAAATTCAGTGTGAGATTTAACAGTTTAGTAATTTATAGTAGTTTTTAAATTAAAAATATAAATATACGAAAAAAACTAAAGTTTTATTCTATGGCTAGTGTGGTTGTTTAATTTTTTAATAATTTCAAATTAAACAAAAATGATCAAATGTTTATTATTTAAAATCAATAATTGTCATATATACTTTAGTCACAGTATACTATCCTGTAATTTTTATTTTAGGAAAGAGTGAAAATATTGAATTATTAATTTATGGTTAGTTTAATAGAAAATATTATATATAGATGGACCAACTTATATTTCTAAAGATTTTAAGAATCATCATGGTGATGACATATGACTATCTCAAATGTTGTAATGTTTTTCAAATAATATATAAGAGATTAATAGATTTTCATTAATTAATGTTGTACAAAAGTAGAATTAATTAGTCATGCTCTAGCTAATGAAATTAGCACAACGGCGAAATCTAATAAACTAGTTAACATCCTTGTTTTTTTTGCTCAAAACATCAATATTTCATAATTCATGTGGAAGGCTGTCTATGAATACGTGTAAACCTTCTGCATTCTATTCAGAAATAATACAATGCCCATATAGTTCTACTAAAATAAGAAGTTAATATCAGTCTAGCAGTCTACTATACATCTACGAAGGGTCGATACATCGAAATAGAGACGGAAGCGACTTGTTATTGTCGAGAGTTTTAAATATGCAGAATACGTATGTATATATTCGAAAAATGCACAATATGAATTGTATTAAATGTTTAGTTTATGAAGCACATAACACCAATGATCTACTTTAGATATCTGATATTTCAAAAGTTTAGCTGTGTGTGGAGTCAATCTCCCCACCAACCGGGAAAAGTTGGTATAAAAACGAAAAGTATGGTGATTACAGAGCTGTACTCTTTTGACTTCTCTTGAAACAAAAAAAATCTAGTTAATTGCATAACTTTTGAAATTATTTCTTTTGAGCAAATATTATTAAATTATTTTGCGTTCTTAGTTCGGATTATGAGGGTGTGTTTTGCAACTGGTTATTAGAATGTTATGGGATTGACGACCATAATCCATAACTTTTGTAAAAAAAAAACATAATCCATTACATTAAGTAAAATTAAATTTTACAGTGTCTATCTTTTTTAGACGACATGTCTAATAGTTCACAATATGTTGTTTTATATGTTTATAGGTGTTTTCCTGCACCATATGTATTGATAAACTTTTTAAAAATTAAATTATATTTAAAATAAAATTATTAATATTATATATTTTATTATTTTGACTAAAATTTTATATAAATTTGATTTAAAAACATAAAATTAAGAAAAAAAGAAATTTGTTTATTTTAAATTATATTTAATAATATATATTTAATATATTTAAAATTCGAATCTTAGAATTTTTTATCTATTTCTTTTGGTTCAATGTATTAAATCAACTTGTATAAAATTATTAAGAAAATTTATATAAAATTTTTATAGTTATTAAAAATTATGACTAAACAATATTTATAAAATTTGTTGATATTTTAAAGAAACTAATGATATATGATTAAAAATTTATTAATTTTTGAAAAAGGTGTAATTTTTTGAAAATATTAATAATAAAAACTGTATAATTATAAAAGTGAAATTAAATAACATTTCAAAATTCATAATGCACATTTCAACATATTCATTTTTAATGATAATTTGATTTATCAATTATTATCATATTTTAAGAAGTTTACTAAAAATATAAATCAATATAAATATAATGTATCAATTATTGTCATATTTTATAAAGTTTATCAACAATATATATCAGCAATAAATGTAAATTTTTTTATGTTATATTTAACTATAAGCCTTGTCACCAATCATAGTAGTCATATCATCATTTTTTTTTGTAAAAATGATTGTAAAAAGATATGTGGCAAATCATTTCGCAAATAATATATAGGGAATGCCAACAAATATATATAGTATCCCTTACATATTATTTGCGAAGTGATTTTGACATGTGTCCTCTCCACAATCAGTTTCACCAAAAAAATGATGACATGTCAACTATGTCTTGGAGTTAATTGTGATATGTACATTTACATTTAATGTTAATATATATTTTTGGTAAGTTTTTAGAATAGGATAATAACTCATAAATTATCATTAATATAAGAATAAATAATATAATAGTAGAAATAAAAATATAACAATATTTATAAAAATTTTCAATTATTTTAGAAATATATTTAATTTTATAATTGGATAATTATATACCTAACAAAATTTTCTCGTAATTGTATAGAATCTGATTTAATATATTTTAACCAAAAGAAAAAAGATAAAAGTCTTTCCAAAATTTTAATTTTAAATATATACATATATATTATTAAATATAAATTTAGATAAAATTTATTTATTTTATCATATTTTTACATATAATTAACGTAAAATTAATAATTAACAAAATAATCAACTTAAAAATTAACTAAATTTTATTTTTAAATATAGATTTATTATTAAATTTTTTATTTCTGCACATGGTGCAGAAAAACACCTAGTTTATTATTAAAGTAGAACATACTCATCTCTTTTTTTTTGTGCACAAAAACATGTTCGTTTTTTCTTTAATATTTTGTCAGATATAGATATTCATAACCGCAAAAAAGAAGACACAAAAGAAAAGTCAAAACCGCACAAAACAGATGAACTGTGTTCTCATTTCTCTTCGTTTTAATATTCTACAGTATAAATAAAATATTTTAGACGCAAACATATATATTTACGTTTTGGAACAAACAGATCCTTAGATACAAACACCTCATTTACCATGGATTAACAAAAAGAAAACTTTATGTTTAGGTAAAGGCCTTGTAAAAAATAAAAAACAAATGAACTCCTAACAATCTTTGGGACTAGGTTTCAAAAAAAAAAAAAAAAAAAAAAAAAAT